TTTTAAACAAATTATTGTGTGTCTCAGCAAAATTTTGGCTTCTCAAGAACAAAACATTTTTCCAAGTGTTTTGGAATTTTTCTTTTTATCTGCATAAGCATTTAAAGCGATATTAATTCCGACTTAGGTGATAGACCTCAGTATCCCTCGTCTTACTAAAGTTTACGGAATACTCAAGTGATCGTAGACTCCAAGGACCTGCACTCGTATCACATGGGTTCGAAACTCTCGCCTACGCTGGACATGGAATGTTTATTCGCACGGGGCCTTAGTTATGCAGATTTTAACACGAATGTTCTCTTAACCGATTGGTCGGCGGACGGTGTTATCATTCCGACTTGCAGGTGGACGAGACGTAATCTCGTCCGATCACGAAATACGTTTCCCTGTATAAATTAATTCGCTTGAAGCGATCGCGAAACTTCGTCGGCACTTAGAAAATTGGTATCGTATCGTGTCATAACGTATGCGAATTCCTATTGTATCGTATCTTCATCGGGCTCGTGAGATAGCTTTGCGTTTAATAATAACGCTGGTCGGATCTTTCGGTTATTAAGCTCCATGAAATCTCTGTTTTGCCGCGTAATCTAATTACGGAGGGGCTGTTAAATCTACACGCATCGCACGCGGAGATTTATTTACTGGTACTTTGTGCGCGCAGAATCGATTATTATATCGTTTCGCTGCGTTTTTTCATCGGACCGGCGTCGAATTTATTTCCGATTAGATAACTACGCGGACAACGTACAGTCATCTCATCGAAGCTGTAACGATACTGTCACCGGACGCAACGTTAATAATAGTAACGTTGGTGTTTTGCGAGCACTTTTCATGTGACGATTCCAGAGAGGAAGAGGGAAAGAGGAAGGAGAGAGAAAAGGAAGAAAAGACCTAGGCGGAAAATGCAACCTCACGGAGCGGTGCCGTGCGAACGAAACGGGTTGCCACGTTCGGATACCCTTTGGTAAGCAAGTAGATACCCATCGGTCCAGAACAGGGCTCTCTCTCTCTCTCTCTCTCTCTCTCTCTCTTTTTTCTCTCTTTGATGCAGCATGCGCGTGCATACGATACAAAATAGACGTGTATCACGC